TGTCTTCCTTGCTCCTTCATTGTTCATTTCTTCCTTTCTTTATGTTCTTTCTTTCGGGTTGTCTCTGTCTGTATACCTGTAACTGGCTAGTTCGTTCCTTCTTACTCTCTTGGTTTCTTTCTGTCCTTGCTGTTGCTGTTGCTGATGCTGCTGCTGCTGCTGCTGCTGCTGCGGTTGTTGTTGCTGTTGTTGTTGTTGTCGTTGTTGTTGTTGTTGTTGATGTTGATGTTGATGTTGATGTTGTTGTTTATGCATTTATGCTGTTGATTTTATTGTTTATGTTGTTGTTGTTGTTGCTGCTGTTGCTGTTGTTGCTGTTGTTGCGGTTGTTGCTGTTGTTGATGATGTTGATGTCGTTGTTCATGTTGTTGTTAATGCTGTTGTTAATGTTGTTGTTGTTGCTGTTGCTGTTGTCGTTGTTGTTGTTGTTGTTGTTGTTGTTGTTGTTGTTTTTGGTTGTCGTCGTCGTCGTCGTCGTCGTCGTCGTCGTCGTCGTGGTTGTTGTTGTTGGTGTTGGTGTTGGTGTTGGTGTTGTTGTTGTTGTTGTAGTTGTAGTGGTAGTTGTTGCTGTTGTTGTAGTTGTAGTTGTAGTTGTAGCTGTAGTTGTAGTTGTAGTTGTAGTTGTAGTTGTTGTTGTTGTTGTTGGTGTAGCTGTAGTTGTAGTTGTAGTTGTAGTTGTTGTTGTTGTTGTTGTTGTTGTTATTCATGTTGTTGTTAATGTTGTTGTTAATGTTCTTGTTGCTGCTGCAGCTGCTGCTGCAGCTGCTGTTGTTGTTGTTGTTGTTCATGTTGTTGTTAATGTTGTCGTTAATGTTCTTGTTGCTGCTGCAGCTGTTGTTGTTGTAGTTGTAGTTGTAGTTGTNNGTTGTTGTTGTGGTTGTCGTTGTCGTTGTTGTTGTTGTTGTTGATGTTGTTGTTGTTGTTGTTGTTGTTGTGGTTGTTGTGGTTGTTTTTGGTCGTCGTCGTCGTCGTCGTCGATGTTGTTGTTGTTGTTAATGTTGTTGTTGTTGTTAGTTGTTGTTGTTGTTCCTTCTTTCTGTCTGCTCTCTGTCTGTATGTATTGCTGCGGTTCTTTCTTTCCTTCTTTCTTGTCGCTTTGTTGCCGGCTTCTATTCTGACATATTCTGACTATCTTCTCTTTTGTTTGTGTGTCACCGGAATTTGTTTTTGTTGATGCATTTTTTTGTTTGTTGACCCTCTCCCTTGTTTTCTTGATCATTCACATCACGTAATGGCGCAGGCAGAGAAGTTGCTCTGGGTGCTGACATCTCACTTGCTATAGTTGCAATATGGATCACAAACATCGGACGAGATGTCTCGTGTCCTAATTGGCAAGCTACATGATCACAAACTGCATGAGTAGCTGGCCTTCTGCAGCCTCACAGTCGTTGAAGGTGCTCCACCCTGCCAAACTGACATTGTGCAGGACGTCCATGCCGCCTCCTGCGCGCAAAGCTGAGCATCCTTCGAAGGAGGCGGAGCCTCCCTCCTGCTGGAAAGAGCCGCTGATGTGGAAGCCACCTCCACTTTTCTGTGCCGTGCAAGACTGCATTCTCAGGGATCCACCCTCCTGGACAAAGTTGCCACCCACACTCATACAGCCACCGCTGGCTTTGCTGTGACACGACTGGAATTTCAGGCTGCCCCTCTGATGCGTGGAGCTGCGCGTGAAGAATCCCCCGCCTGAGCGGCTGAACCAGCATCATTTTGAACCCTTTCTTGAGTCATGAAATCTTGCACGCTGCTGGCCTGGCAAGCCTAATGATCTGCGCGGCTAACCGAAAATATTAGCTAAGGGCTTCTGCTGACTCCAAAAGATTCGGAAAACCTGCCTTCTCCATCTGCTGTGCAATTGGCGAAAGTCAACTTGGCGTCATCGAAGCTTATCACACTGCCAGCTGCCATGCCGCCGCCGTCACCGGTGGCGGAACATCCAGCGAATTCCGCGGAACCAGTAACCACGACGTCGCTAGTTGTATGAATGCAACCACCTCCCGTTTGGCCTGCCAGTGGCAACAAGGAAGGCACTTTGGGACTGCTCTGACCAAGCACGATTGTCGCTACAGAGCCTAATTGCTCGAGGAAGGTACAGTAATAGATTTGGTAACCCTTGCTGCGGACAATGTGTCCCCTCGCCTGTAGCGAGATCAACTGTCATCGACTCGCTGCCAGAGTTGCAATTCTGAAACGCAACGGAGCCATGCAGCACGACGCCTTTTACATTGCTCAAGGCGCCTCCGTGCTGCGATGGTTTGCAGGCATTGAATATAGCCGAGCCATCCTGCTTCTGGCCAAACTTACCTGCCACATACATGCAACCCCCATCGCTGCCGCGGCAGGTTTGACAGACTAGTCTTCCTGAGTGCTGCAGGAACCCGCCAGCCACGTAAGCGCCTCCACCTGCATGGGCTGGCTTCTACTTACCACAGTCGGGATGTCCTTGACAGCAATTTGCACACTGGCACGCAGCAAAGCGGAGAAGGTACAGTACACTACACAAGATTCACAAGAGGAAATTCTCGCTGTGCTACACGCCACAGTCTACAGGCAATCCCCTGAAAGAGCTGCCACATGCAAGGCGTGACCTTAGACCCGCGGCCGATCCAAGCGACACTATTCAGGCCATTGAGTATATGCATCTTTTTTATACCACGGCTCAGCACTTATGCGTCGCTTTGATGGACGCCACTGCAATCCGTGACAACTTCTTCTGCCAGAACATGTCTGCTGAAAACTTCCACGCATTTTAGCTGATGACCAGGGCATCGCATCAATGGTTAAACCAACATGATAATCGATGCAGTCTTCCTTGCATGGCTTCACAGAACCACTTCGCACTTTGCCGGTGCTCATATAGGGATCCTTTCAGTTTTGGGTCCTTCCTCAAGTTTGGATCTCACCCCTCCTGCTGTCAAAGCAGGGGCCCCCCCTGCTGATGCAGAAGCGCATTCCAAGTCTGCGCAGGCCTGAAGTGCTGGCGATGCATGAATCGAAGGTCACCAAGCCACTTGCTTGTGCGAAGCCTCCAACCCAGGCCGCACCACCTGCGAAGCACCCACGCAGGCACACACACACACAAACAAACGGAGGGCTCCGCAATCATTTAAGATCGCAATGATGCTTTCTCATCTTTGCGTCAGAACGCCTAGCTACCGGATTCTACCTGATTGGTACATGTCCGATTCCACCAATCCTTGTCCTGTACCAGCATCATCTCCAACTGATATTGAAGTATCCGGACAGGCACACATGCTTGCCGAGCTGAGAAAATGATACAGTCGGCAGGAAGGTCTTGGATACTAGGCTACGGCTTTGGAGCATGATGCATCATTGAACAGCAAGGTGCTGCACTAGTACATTCTTCAACCTGGACGTCCGGAACACCCAGTTGCAATGACACCCAGGTCCTTCGTTGGAGATGCAGCCATGAAATGTTGTCGCCCCGGCTGACGTCAACCGGCCCCTTTGAACGCATATTGCACCGCCTGGCATGCATGACCGGAAGAATGCATCGACATGTTGCAACTACCGAACTTCCTAGGAAACCAACAAACATCTTGAATCCAAGAGCAAGCTCAAGACCTACGGCCTAAGGTCGACATCACCGTCCACTTTCAACCTAGTAATTCCAAACAGAGACAGTTTATCTACTGTGTCCCCGCCCAAGTTCTCCACCTCGTCCTTGTGCACGGCAGCCAATGAACTTCATGAGTCCAGACATTTTCACGTTGCCATCCATGGAGAACATGGCACCACCTCACGAGGCATGCAAAAAAATCCAGGCGAACGATGACACAAATTCATGTTGACACATAATTCTTGAAGGCGGTCATGGCCTGTCTTCGCTGCACAGCCCTGGGCATGAACAGCGCCGTTCAGTTCTGCCCCTTTTGTCAGCAAGCATCCCCCAGCATCTTCAGCTGTGCAGTTTTGACAACTTATATTGCCAGCACTCTGATGCAGGCTGCCACTTGCAACAAGGCCCCCTCCATGGCGCGCATGGCAGAACTGCAGCGTGATGCTGCCACCCTCCTGTTGGAGACCGACACGCCCGATATGGATAGCCCCACCGCCTGGCGCACAGACTACGTCAACTTGAGTCAGAAGTTGCTGCCGCTGCAGTCACTGTGCCTGGTGTGGAAGAACAGTCCAGGAAACTTATGCACAGTGCTAACTCGCAGAGCACATGAAGGCACGGCTCATACCAGGAGCTCCAGATGCGAAGACAAATGTGGAGTGAGAGAGAGGGAGAGATACAAACAGAGAGCGGGTGGGAGAGCGAGAGAGCATGAGAAAGAGAGGGAGAGAGTGAGCGCGAGTAAGAGACCGGAGGAAGAGGGGAGGGAGGGGAGAGAGAGACAAAGGGAAAGGGGAGAGGGAAGAGAGAGGAAGAGGGGGCAGGAGAGGAAAATGAGGGTAGGGGGGGGCAGTGACAGGGGGAGGGGGGAGGCTCGTGGTATGTCCAGAAACCTCCTCCGGATAGTCGAAGCAGTGCTGAAGAACGTCACACCGGACGAATGGAGCATGAAGGTTGCATCAGGGCGCAGAGACTGAGGTAGTGCTGTTAAAGCATCAAGCTGGCATCCAGAGGAGTATTATGTAAAGAGTACCAGCCCTAATTCGCCTGTAATACGCTGGAGGATTCCGTACCTTGCAACCGCTTCTGGAACAGAAAGCAAGCTTGGGTTCCGCGCAGAATCAGCCAATTGTTGCGCTTGCATGGTTTCCACATACGAATCAGCAAGATGAAAACACGAGCGATAAAAAAGGAAAGCCACGTTTGGGCGTACACACGTACAGCATGTTACATACCTCTCATGCCTTGGGCATCCAACTAGTCGCTCATCTATCTTGCAGTGCACGGCTGCCTTGTCCGGGCAAGAGAATGCCTATGGCACATCGCATTGAAGGTGCAACATGACCAAAGCGTGCAAGTATTGCTTGGACACAGCCACACAACCACGAAGAACACCTGAGACACTTGAGTTCTTTACTTTACACTAATTACTATACGCAAGACCTCTCCACTCGCGCTCATGGCCTGCTGTCGCTACACAATTGCGCGCTACGATGGAGCCGCGCAAATGAACCCCAGCTGTAACTCTCGCACGACTTCCGACTGCAAGACATCCACCAGTCTTTGCGCTGCAATTTTGGCAGCTGATGTCGCCAGCAAGCTGCCGTAGGCCACCATCAGCTATCATGAGACCACCACCTCGGCCCTCATTCGAATGACTTGATCGCAGCTTGATGTTACCACCTTCTTGAAGCAGACCGCCGCTGTGAACGTAGAGCCCCCCTCCATCAGTCACAGCACCTAGCATCGCTTCGGGCATGTCACATCTTACTACAAACAATGTTGACTTCCCTTCCGAACGCGAAGACCCGCCTTTGAGGTGACTGCCACTGCTGCTGCTTCGTTCAATCTCCAACGAACCGGATATCATTGTCAGGCCCTGCTGGAGGTAGAGCGCGCCGCCAGCTTCGGTCCCGTTCTAGCGCAACAGGGGAGAATGTCTGCATGGTAAACCACGGCTACACTGGAGGATGTTGCTGCTCTCACCAACCAAGAACCGTTGCTGTTCAATGGGGCATGGATATGCTTCGATTCGGGAACCCCAGGATCGAACCAATTTGTGCGTTCAGTAACTCTGAAGTTCAGCCACAGGATCTTGATGAACAAGCCACAGCTACCTAGTGATGTAGTCTGTTGAGTTTTCAGAGCCAGTAGGGAATCGCCAAACCGGCCACTCCGAGGACGTTTCCTTGTAGCTGCGCTCAGGTTAAATGGCTCGGCTGCGGCAATCCAGAGTTGTTTGTGGCCCTGAAGCCCGTCACAACAATCAAGTTTCAACCCCCAAGAAAAGGTCCCCAACCAATAGCACAGGTGTCAGTGCGGAAAGATTTGCAGCAAAAGCTCGTTGTGGCAACCCATGAAGATGACACGGGAAGCGCCAGCGGGTTCATCATGCACACGTGCAGGGCCACGTGCTGTCACGCAAGCTTGTGTCAATGGGGTCATCCCGAAGAAGCTCAGCATCCCGCCAAAATCAACGTTTCCTCACAGATAGTTCAACATGGAATCGATCTGAAAGTGAAACGTGATTTTTCTGGATAATCACGCGTGATTCCTGAATCTCAGCAGGGGCTCTTTCAAATATCAATGGCGCATTCAGCAAGACGATTGCGCTGGAACCCCGCAGCTTACAGCTTTCATTTAGACTTCTCGTGCTGTCGACGACATACAGCCCGTGCAGTTCGAGCGTACCTTTCGCACAAGTCTTCGGAAAAGAAGGGGCACGAATGGCCGACTTCACGGCCAGTGTATATCCTGGCATGGCATGGCCGCCAGCTGTCACGAATGGGATTTGGAATCAAGCCCACTCCTTCTGCTGCGCGACAATCCACGAAGTTCATATGACCACCAGTTTGAAGAGCACCCAATACCGACACAACACCTCGAAAACAAGCGGCGAACGTCTGAAGAATTTTCGAAGCAGCAACAAAACACGTTTTCAATGCTTGGCTCAAGCGGTAATGATATGTATGTGTACATAGATATCCTTGTCCAAAACCTCACTCGCAGCCTTCTGGCAAGGTCATGAGAACCTCAATTGTCAATCCGATGATTGAAAAAATATCGTGAGCATTTGGTCCCAACTTTGCTGCAAGTGCGATGCTTAAAATCAACCGAACGTTAGTATTATGTTGTTCATTTGATTCTAGCTTATCATACCAAGGGAACTCCCGTGTTTGTAAACCGCCCTGTTCTTCATAAATCAGGCTTTGTTCTTTGGAAACGGGGCGGTATTGATAGTGAGTATCACAAAATAACCGTTTGACATTCATGTGCACCTTTTGGTCAAATTTTGGAACTATCCATGCAATGTACATGGAACTCTTCCTACTGTCTAGGTGAAGGTGTATCCTGCGATGATTACAAACGAATCCATATATAGATATATAAAATATGTAAATACATTAAAACATGTATGTTTATAGGCAATCTGGCACTGCATGTCTTTCAGCTCAGCGCAGCCTCCCATTGTTGCAGAGCATGAAGCGAAGTTCATGTGCCCGGCTAACTGCTTGAAGTCGCCGGAGGCCATAACAGCACCACCTCAAGAGCTTGCAATACACATGCACCTCACACGGCTAAGGTTGGCCTGACCTTCTTCTTCCGCATTGCAGCCGTCGAAGTCCATGAAGCCCGAAGTAACCAAGTTATCCGTACTGACAGCACCTTCCAAGAGCTCTCTGCACGCAGAACCCATGAAGGTCATAGCATCAAAGCTTGCCGGAAAAATGCTGCGCGAGGGCCTCCTTCTCTCGCAGTGCACAACCCAAAGTGCATACTGCCTTCCATTTGAATAAGCCTTTGATCAATCCTGGCTGCACCACCTGAGATTTGCAGTGGCAACTCACATGGCCAGCAACGCGCCACAGATTTCTTTGCCGGTTCCCTGATCGTCGAACGTGAAAGCTTACACTCAACTTTGCGGTGTCCGGACCTTTGGTCATGGCAGTGCACGAAGTGAACTTCACGCGCCCTGCTATTTGTTTGAAGTCGCCGGAGGCCATGATGGCACCGCCTAGAGAACTTGAAATGTACATCCCAGAGACATTGATCCATGGTTGCTAGCTTGGCCTGACCTTTTTCTCCCGCATGACAGCTGTTGAATTCCATGATGCCCGACGATGTCAAAGTATTGGTGCTTATGGCGCCTGCCGAATACTGTGGCGCGGAAACTCTGCAGAAAGGTACCAAGTAAAATGCTGCAGCGGAACCTCCTTTCACTGCAGCAGCGCACGCATCGAAGCTCATCCTACTCTTTGCAGCTTGTGTGATGTCCATGTCGACCATCGCTGCGCCGCCTTGCAGGGATTCAGCTCATGAGACGCCGAAACATGTTGTGCGAGCTAGCATAGGAAGCCTGATCCTAGAAGCGTGTGTGAGCAACCATGGACAAATAATACTCAAAACTCATAGAAGTAGAGCCCGAGTGCTACAACACCCAAGGTTCTCCACGCGCATAGAGGATGGCAAACGCTGCTTAGCTGTCCCGGCCTTCTTTGGCTTCGCAGCCGCTGAACTCCATGATACCCTGCACGAACAAGCTTCCGTAGACAGCCACCGCACCTGCAATCACAGCTTGGAATCCAACTCTGATTTGAGATGCTTCGCAGCAGGCACTCTGCGACTGTTCAGAAGGTCTGCCAGCTGAGCAAGAGGTTCTGCAGCATTGTGCAGTGTCCGTACCTCCTCGCGCTGCTGCATTACACGAGATGAAGTTCATGCGCCCGGCTAGGTGTTTGAAGTCGCCGGAGGTCATGACTGCACCACCTTCAGAACTTGCCAAGCGCAGCTCAGAACAAGACTGAAGCGAGCTAGGTTGTCCTGACCTTCTTCTCCTGCTTGGCAACCGTTGAACACCATGATGCCATCAGAATTGAGGCTTCCACCGACGAATACTGCGCCTGCCCGAGGCTCTTTACAACCGTAGAGCCATAAGGTCTGCCTGCTTAAGTGCCGCGGGGAGACCTCCTGTCGCTATGGCCGTGCAAGCGTCGAAACTCATACGCCCACCGTTTTGAGTCAACGACCCCCTGATCATAGCTGCACCGCCTCCGAAATTTGTGCTGCCGGGCTTTGATTGAAAGCAAACAGCGTGGCAAACTACCGGTAACCATTCGTGCGAGAATTGCATGTCAGCGGACCTGATTCATCTGAGTGGCAGCCCTTGAAAGCCATCTGACCCGATGACCACACATTGCCCTGGATGTCCAAGGCACCACCTAAGAAGCACGGCTAGCAAAGCCAAGCATTCCAGAAATGAGCAAGCAATGCGCCTAGCCTGAGCCTCCCAGGCAACCATGGGCGGTGATGGAGCCGTTGTCGTAGATCGTTAGGCCCTTCGCATCTTTTCCGCTGTGTTCAATGACCATGCATCCTCCCTGCATCTGGGCAGAACAATTCTGGCAGCTGATATTGCCAGCAAGTTGGTGCATTCCACCGTGGTGGATGCAAAGGCCCCCACCAGAGCCCTCGGTTCTGCTGTGCCAGAGCTTGATGCTGCCTCCCTCCTGTCGCAGACCCCCATTATGAATGTAGATTCCACCTCCGCCTGCCATCACACAACACAACAGACCTGCAATGGTGCAAGCAATCGCTGGTACACCCCGCCTCTAACGCAGCTGCTGCGAATGATAGTCAATGAGCCAGAGAGTAGGGTCAGGCCCTGCTCCACATACAGCGCGCCACCCGCGGATGTCCTATCCTGTGAGTAAGCGTGACTGCGCAGCAATCACCATCAAGTAAGCGTGACTGCGCAGCAATCACCATCAAATAGGAGGGATCAACTCCAGTGCGCCTTGTTATGGCAATCGGAGAATGTGATATGAGAACTACCATCAGCGCCGCCATCACCAATTTGAAGCGTGTCGCGTGCTATGACGCAAGCTTGCATTAGCGGGGAAATGCTGAAGAAGTTCAGCGAGCCGTCAAACACAACGCCGCTGCTTCCTGACAATTAATACGGCATGGGCATCTCTTGAAATTCTTGAAAGAAGCCAAAACTTAACAAATGAATCTGGCGTGCATGGTGTCAGCTTGGACTCCTTCAAAAATCAACGGTGCGCGCAGCAGAATGATCGCGTTGGATCCCCGCAACTTGCAGCTTCCATGAAGGGATCTGGTGCTGTTGACAACATACAGGCCCCTGACATGGAGCCAGCCCCCAGCACAGGCATCTGGAAAATGAGGGGCGCGCACGACACCCTTGACCACAAATGTTGATCCTGGACAGCAGTGCGGCACACATGGCGGAAGCACTTTGCAGCATCACTGGCACGTTTGCCCTCAAAGCTGCGCCAGGAATAACGGTTGGGCCCAGCACTGTCCTCTTTCTGCCTGGCATTCCTCAAATCTCATGGAACCGTCGGATGTCAGGTCGCCCTGCACAGTGATAACACCTGGGACAAACGTGCACGTTTAGACTTTTCACCGTCATCAATCGCTACAGTGCTCCATTCGTTGCCTACCATACATGGTCTGTAGCTGCGTTTGTTTGTTCATCCTGCTCCTACATGTCAAGGGTTTGGCGTTTGGGAAGCTCCACATTCGGCATCGCATAGACCAAAGTGAAATACTCAAGAGCCAGAGGCAGAAACGAAAGTTCAGCGCTGGGAGCGCTTCACGGCTAGCACATCCCTAGAAGAGGGTGCAGGGGCGTCGTTCCCAAAACTTTCTTACTTTCATGACCTGTGCAGCGACCACAATCAAGGGGTTCCTGAGCCACTTCCAGATTACCTCCAAGAAAGGCCCCCGGTGGGCCGCCCCAATGCCCCATCCCCTCCTCCAGTCTAGCGCCAAAATTGCATCCTTTCAGGCTCACCCCGCCTCTGCAACATAGTTCAGGGTATATGACCGAAGCTTGCTCTCACGAGGAATCTTTCTGACATGCTTCCACTGTCTTGCAAGAAGTCTCCCATGACAATGAGTGTATGTACCTCCTTGTCCAAGCGTTATGCATGCGGGTGCCGCCTTGGTCTTTTGCTTGACAGCTATTGAATTCCATAGCGCCAGAAGACATCAAGTCCCCTTTCGTGAGCATTGCACCTGCTCAGAACTTTCATGGGCGGCACTTAGTGACCTCTAAGCATGAAGTCTGTGAAACTCAAAATGCTGCATGCAGACCTCCCACTTTGGCACTGCAATTCTGGAAGCGCATGCTTCCGTTGGCTTGGTTCAGATCTTGGACCAGGACTGCACCGCCTTCAGGGATCGTGATTGCACACATCCGTTCATGAGATCCGCCGCGAAAAGACAATTTCATGATGGTAAGTGGGCCTGCCTTCGTCCCTTGCTAGGCAGTGGTTGAATGTCATCGTGCCGAAACACATCAAGCTGCCATCGGCAAAGATTGCACCTGACCAACACGCATTGCACGAAGCAATTCTGGGACATTTGCTGTTGCCCCATCCACACACTGAAGCACCGCACCCAGACCTCCCTCGTCAGCAGCGCACGTATTGAAGAACATATGCCCATTGCTTTGGACAAAGTCGTGGTCGACGGCGACGGCGCCACCTCGTGAACTGTCTGGCAGAACTGTCACGCAGCAGCCGCGCAAGTGGTGTTGACAGTTTTTGCAGACGCCGTGGAGGCATGCTTGCTGCGCACCCCTGTCCAGAGCCCACAGACTGTCAGCGTGTTTACAAATACATAGTTGGGGTCACGTAACGGGCTGAGAACGTTCATTCCCCGATCCACCTAGGCTTTAAGGGTATACGCTAGCCTGTGACAGGGAACTGGAGAAGCGGCAATCAAAATACATGGCTGCCAGACCAAACTTTGTCAGACGCACCTGTGAGCTAAAGCCTGAGCCCTTCCAAAGCCTGCAGGTTGACAGAAGTTCTACTATCTCCGCGTGGGCGCCCCTATAAATCCGTCGCTTCACGGTATCAACATTGAGATGTATGACAGCACGCCACTTGGCACCTTGCTGCCTGGCTGTTTAATTGTTCATTCGGGGACGTCAGGGCAGCTGGATCAATCCAAAGATTGCTCAGCGCTTGCAGCCTGCGATAACCTTGTAGAGTAGTAGATTTCTCAATATCAACATGACAGTCTAGTCCCAAATGCTAGAATCGGACCTCTGGCGGCAGCGCAATCATAGAAGGTCATGCTCCCCTCGGATTGAGTGAAAGCTCCATAGACCCGGACCGCACCACCTGGACATATTGTTGAATGCTGGAAGTGATCCATCTCAGGAAGCCCAGCCTTCTTCGGACGCGCGGCAGCTCCCAAACTCCATACTGCCGGAAAACGTGAAGTCTCTTTGCGCCAGCATTGCCCCTGCTCAGGACATTTGTGGCCTTTGAGTATGCAGTCTGCGCACGTACATCTGAGCTCCAAATGCTGAGTTCAGGCCTCCTGATACGGCAGTGCAATTCTGGAAGCGCATGCTTCCGTCGGCTTGATTCAGATCTTGGACCAGGACTGCACCGCCTTGAGAAATCGTGATTGCACATATCCCTTCAAGATAATTGTATACCGCCAAAAAAAGACAAGGCTGGCTTAGCCTGGCCTTCGTCTAATGCATGGCAGCTGTCAAACTGCATGGTTCCTGAAGACATCAGGCTCTTGCCGACCAGCATTGCACCTACGCGGGACTTTGACAAGCAGCTAGGGTCTCTTATTTTGTCTCCGACAATACACGATCAACAGATAGTCAACATGCCATGCTCCAACCTCCGTCAGTGGCAGTGCAATTCCGGAAGTGCATTCTCCCGCTGGTTTGATGCAAGTCTTCGCCGATCATCACGGCGCCACCTTGATACAGGGTTGTATGAGTACTTGGCATCCAAAGCACTACAGAGCTATCTAGTTGGGTCGCAGCCTTGAAATGCTTCACAGCTGTTGAATTCCATAGCGCCAGAAGACATTAAGTTTCGTGTTGAATGAATTGCACCTGCCCAAGGACGTTCGCAGGCAGCGCTTCGTGATCTTTGTGAATGTAGTTTGCGCACAGACTTTCAAATGTTGTGTGCGAGCCTCCTGTATCCAAAGCAATACAATTCTCGAAGCGCATGCATCCATTGGCTTGGTTCAAGTCTCCTTTCATGAGCATTGCACCTGCTCAGGACTTTCACGGGCGGCACTTAGCGACGTCTGAGCATGCAGTCTGTGAAGCTGAAAATGTTGCATGCAGACCTCCCACTTTGGCACTGCAATTCTGGAAGCGCATGCTTCCGTTGGCTTGGTTCAGATCTTGGACCAGGACTGCACCGCCTTGAGGGATCGTGGTTGCACACATCCATTCAAGAGGTCAGGCTCGAAAGAAAACTAGATTACACATGGGAACTGGGCCTCAGGAAGTGTCACGCAGCAGCTGAGCAAGCGTGGTTGACAGCTATTCTTGCACGAGCCGTAAAGGCATGATTGCTGTGTCCGAGGCACTCCCCTCCACAAGTTGCCTTGGCCTCCATACATAATGAGGGTAAAACATGTTGAATGGGCTTCGTTCAGGGATGTTAGGGTTTGCCCTTTACACTCCAACCACATGTCGTCCCTGCCGTTGGACTGTACCCCAACGGCCTTTTATCTAGGGAGCCCCTCCAACGCTCTGAAGTTGAAGCCTGCAATGCCCACAAAATCAGCTACGATCAGTTGAAACTCGGCATTTTGGCTTCGACGACATGGCTGTGTTCCCCCCTGAGATGGGAAGCAGCACGCCTTCAGGCACCAGGCTTCCTTTCGCGTTGACAATTGATTGATTGGGATCATCTAGCCTAATTATAGACATGTTGCAAAATGCTGCCCAGGGACCTTCGGATCCGGCAGCGCAACCATGGAAGTACATGTTCCCATTGGTTTGGTTCAAGTTTCCGAAGGCCATGACCGCCCCACCTTGACAACTTGTCATGTGCAACTGTGCAAACTACTCGAATATTTTTCGGCAACGACAGAATGGGGCTAGCAGTGGCATGGCCTTCACTTGTTGCACGGCAGCCCTTGAACTCCACGATGCTATCAAATATCAAACTTCCTCCGGCAAATATCCCACCTGCTCAGGAGGGCTCTGTCATGAAGCCTGCAGCACTCATCGAGATTGTATGTAAGCCTGTCAGTACAAGCAGTATTCAGAACAACTCCTCTGGACCTCCGGAGATGGCAGCACACTGATTAACATGCAAGCTCCCATTGGCTTGACTGAAGTCTCCGTTGATCGCAACGGCACCACCTGGACAACCGATCATGCGAAGCTTCCCTCGCCATTCCCAACATTAAGCTGGCCAAAGGCGGAGCCTAACTGGAGTGGCCTCGGCTTCTTGCTTGACAGCCATTGAAGTCCATGACGCCCGCAGAGGTCAAGCTTTCAAGCACGCAAATTGCACCTGACCAACACTCTTCAGCATGCCATGTAGATTACAAGTGAGCACCTGCATGAAGCTCTGCACCCTCACCTCCGTCATCGGCCACGCACAGGTTGAAGCTCATTTGCCCGCTGAATTGGGCAAAGTGCGAATGGACCTTGATTGCGCCACCTTGGGAAGTTTCACAGCATGAGCTACACCAACATAAGCTTTGCAGCGCTGCTCAGCACGCCTGGCTACGATTCAAGGAGCGTTTCTTCAGACTCTAGGCTGGGCCTTAAGCATCTAAGGCAGTACTAGTGGGAGAGAATTGAAAGTTCGGAGTGTGAGGCATCGCTCTTCCATCACGCCCAACCAGGTGGTTGCCATGATTGCCCGCCTTTGGCAAAAGCTTGACCCTAATGGCCTGCAATCTAGCCATCTAGCTACCTGAAGTTCTTTAAGCTGGTCGCTGTGGCCGGCCCGTTGTGTAAAACACGCATTACAGGCAGCTGGGAGCAGTTAAGCGGCTACCGTTCATAATGTCGGATTCGGAATATTAAACGGTGGCGGATCATAGCTAATCGGGCCTGAACGGAAGAATAAAAATCGGTACGGATTAGAGCTAAATCCGGTCTGAACGGATAAATAATGGGGTTTAGGATC